CACAAATTAAAAACGCTCATATCTCGCTTGAAAATTAAAATATCCAAAAAGTTGTAGATGCTTAAGCATAAATAGATAATGTTTTTACCTAAAACTTTGATAATAGGTCAATTCACTCTAATATCAAAACTAACAGCACGCAATTGAAACAAGTGAACACAAATGTTACGTACGTGTGAAAACGGAGACAACAAATTCATGGATAGCGTCGTCCACTTAAGGAGAAAAAAAATATTTGCTTTCGGCCCTCATGAATATCAGATTCAGTACAAGTACTAAGTTGGTACCTAACTAATAATTTTGAAGATATATAAAAAATATATTGTTGGTAACCGACTTCGATTAAAAATTACATAATATCTTGACTTGATTTTTTGATAGTTAATTATTATATAATATTTTAGAGTATTTATTTATCTATTAGTATACCTAATACAAAATATTTAACTAAAACCTTTTAAAACCACTCGTAAATAATGCAATGATTTAACTAAAAAAATATTTTTAAGAGAATGTCAGTGCACTGTTAGTTTTCTCTCTCCGGCCCACGCGCAACGTAGACAAAACGCATTTACGCAGAATAATTTTTTTATGTTTTAGAATAATCTTAGAATAAAATCACCTAGTACAAAATTGATGGAGAATAATATTATTAAAGGAATGACTGTACGGTTTATTACCCCAATACAATTTAAACGTCATAAAATTTTTTTTTTGTAAATAGAATAATTAGTCAAATACTAATAAAATATTAAATCGATATGTCATACGCTCAAAATTATTATCGTCTATAATGTTTGTAGTAGATGATTTTACTCTTAAGGTTACAGGTTACTCAAAAATCAGAAAAAAACAATTTTAGGCGAAAGCGTTTTATCTATGTTGAGCGTGAGTCCGATAGTGAAAACAAATATTGAGCAGGCATCCTCTTATGGATATTTTAATATAAATATTAGATTTATATTGATCTATTTTTCTATTAGTGCTATGGTAGGTTCAACTAATTTTTGCCAAAAACCGATACATATATTATAAAATTGTTTCATATGATATTATTAGTCGTCAATTGTCGATGGGCCGTTAACTAATAAGTATAGATACTAACTAAACTAACGTAAGTTTGTAATAACGTACCCTACAGTCATAGATCAGTGTAAATAGGTCCTTTGTAACATATTAGGTACACATTCAGCTTAAAGTTAATCCAAAATAATGAAAATTTAATTTTTCAGTTTATTATATATTTTTAATTATTATATTATAAGCCTCTGCCATCTTTAGTCCCTACTTATCATATTTTCGAATTATAACAAAATAACTGCAATTATTATTTTTGCGTTTGAATATCTAATTTCGTGAAAATTTTAATTTGAAATTTGTAGGTCACTGAAGAACAACTTTTGAGGAACCTAGTATTGTATATTCAAACATGAGCTAACTGATAATTGTATAGATTTTTAACTACAAATAATTCGTACATTTTCTTAATTTTGTCAAAATTTAAACTTATCACTATGATCTAATAAATATTAATAACACAGTTTAACTAGTATCTACCTACAAGATAATAATATTAGTACACTATACACTATACGACGTATAACTCGTATGAGTCCTATCTTCTATACAGAAGATCCAATTAATAAATTGTCAATTTTAAATTAACAATTAGAAACACTTGATCACTGTCTTATCAGCTACCTATTGATATAGCATGAAAACGAGCATTTGAAATAAATAATTATCTACCACAAGGTGTGATTCATTTCACCTTGACCTATATTTGATAAATAAGTCACAAAATATATATTATATTTTTAGTTGTCAATAAATCTATGCAGGAAAAATTGTTTTCATTTAGGTATATATTTTTAGGTAGATTTTAGGTTATCACTTGTTGATTGTTATAAACTTGTTCAAAAAATATTTAGTTTAATCGATGATGATAGTAATAACTAAATTATATTTTTATAAATTATAAATTATTAAAAATATAATATAATATTATTTGGAACATGGCTAGGTAGGTTAGGTCCTAGATAGATATTAGATAATACTTATGTTTTAAGTACTTGCCAAACTTAAATATTTATAGCAATGTAGGCACTGGGCATCATGTAACTACATCCTACATGTCTACATGTTAACAGTCTACATATGTTTAAGCAAGAGTATGATTATATATTTTTACGTAAAAAAATAAAATAGAAAATTTATATTATATTGGTATTTAATATCGTTTTTAATAAAATGTCTATATAATACTAATTTTAACGATCCTCCTTTTGAACTTTAAAAATATTTTAATTAAAACAATGATTCACAATATTTTTCTTTGATGATGATAATAATTAAAACAGTATGATTCAAAATAGTTCCTCATTAAAATTTGCATTTACCGGAGTTCATATGAAATATAAAACCTATTTGTAGTTTGGAAAGTAACACCTTTGTCAATTTGCTATTCTAAATTGATGTATTGTATTTGCAGGCTAATACATTCAACAGATAATCTCTCTCAGATTACTATAGAAAGCTTTGAATTGTTTAATCTGTGTCTATACTGTTTACTTAGTCAGTACGTACAATGGTACAATTGGAACTGGAAATAATAGCAATACTTTTAATAAGTACCTACACAAATTATCAAAGCAAACAGTGAAATTATTAATAATTACAGAATTTTCACATAAATCATCTGCTGGTTCAATTGAATGTACTAAAATAAGAAAGAAATATAGAATATTAGAATATTAGAACATAGAACAGAAATCTTTATCTTTGAAAAGATCCATTCGTGGATATTTGGTGCATCGCCTACGTTATTATAAAATTCAATAGGTTACCAGACAGTAAAAAAATTAATAGGTAATAGTTTACGTGCATAGTTATCTAGACCGAGTAATCGACCGTAGTTCGTGGTTGAATAATTTTTAATCGGTTGACACTTGATACAATATTAAATATTTACCTCCGAAAATGTGAATTTTTAATGCATTGATCATAACATTAACAAAAACTATGATAATTCAAAACATAAAATAATAAATAAAATTTTCACCAAACAAAACATTTTAAACACGTAGAAATGTAGCATAATATTACCTATTATAAAAGTGATACAATAATAATATTGAGTATTTGAGTGGCGTGGCACTTCTCGTCCGCCTCAACGATCGCCCTTGGTCAAAATGCACGATAATTGTCACCCATCGCTTCCTGTAGGCTTTGAACAACTCTATACCTATACCTAGTAATAATCGCGATATAAATTCGTACTACGCTACTGCATAATATTAAATTTATTTTGATTTCATGCGTGTGCTTAATCAAAATTAATTGATTAGTTTGGATTTTACAAACCTGCAGTGTATTAAATAATACTCGAAAACGCTTAGGATATAACTATGAAAGAGTTCCAATTTTAAAATTTTTGAATATAGGTATATGCTAGTAGTAATTTGTAGGTAAACTAGCATATATAGTACACACATAGTAACTATAAGTAGCCAATAGAAGTACCCAACTACCCAAGTCTTTAGTCTTTTTAGTTAAAATTGTATTTATTGATCTTAATAACAACTAGGCAGCAAAGGCCATTAATAAACTTAACATTTAGCACCGTACATATCTGTTAGCTTTAGATTGGTTACAATTTAAAACGACCCATTATTAAGCTACGTATACAGCAGATAATGAAACAGTTCTAATTCTTAATTAATCACAAGAAAATGTTTTGGTAGATATGAAACTGATTTGATTTAAATGTATGAAATGTAAAAGTTCCATTTCACTAGAACAGTATACTAAGGCCGTTAAAAAGTGTGAAAGCCCCATAAAATATTTGAAAAAAGTTTATACTTTTTGAATTTAAAATGTTTTGTACGACTAGATCTATAATACTAAACGAAAATAATAAGATTTCAAAAATCTTTTGAAATAAATTACATGAGTTAAACAAATGTTTTTGCAATTAACTATTTTCTGTAAACTAGATTTAAAAATTTTATTTCCGGTATTAAAAGAAAAAAAGTTATACTTTACGTACAGAGTAGGCATCTAAAATGTCATAAAAAAGAAAAATTAAGAAATATTGATTAGAGCAAAAGTTATTTCATTTTCCAGGTTCTGTTACTTTCTCTATATGGATGGGTATGCACTGCTTCTCATAGAAAAATAAATAAATATTTTCGCCATTGTTCATACAATTATAGTGTCACAGTCATCATACAAAAAAAAAGAATCTTGCATCATTTAGTAAATATTTATTAGAAAAGTAACAAAAAACAACTAGATCTGTGTTAAGTGACAATTACAGCGATTAGCGACATAGCGTTATTACTTATTATTTTATCGATAACTCAACTCAATAATTATGTATAACCTAACCGCCAATAAATTAAAAATTTATAAATTAACAACATTTTTAACAGCTTAATACTACATATTAGTTTTAAATAGTTGTATTATAATAATTATTTAAAAGAAAAATAGTACACATTTATTTAATAATACCATTGATTATAAATACATATGTATTATGTGTAAATATTAAATAGTATTTATAATCAATGATATTAATGATTTCTAAAATATAGGCACCTACATTACAAAAAACAAATTCATGAATATTCAGAAGTATCAAAATATGTAACTGCTTTTATTTACAAAAATTTAATTTTAAACTCCAATAGCCAGATATTTTGATCGTTTTGACTAATGTCTATTTGCATACAGTTTGGTAGGTACTTATGTCTCAAATATAAATCTAGGTAAAATCAATAGATATTTGCTGGTTGCTGGTAGGTACTTAACATTGTATGTATTATACCAATATGGCTATATTATAGACGTAGTGACGTAGCCATTATAATCGTTAACCCATTTAAATAAATCATTTTTTTTCCACTACAATATAAGAACACTTGTTAATAACATATGCAGAATTGCAAATAAAAATATAGGTATATATTTCAATTGTTAATATGTAATATTTGTTTCTGACTTCTGTGTGATAAAAAGAACACTAGCTATTACCACAGCCGTAAAATATCAATACCTACGTGAAACAAACTTAGAAATATATTCAGTACGACTTCAAATTCTATTCGCTGATATGTATGTACCCAATTCAATTCTATAACTTAAAATTACTAAATCGTAACTATAAACTGTAGTAATCGTAAAAATACCGCATTTTAAAATACCTATTTTAAAAATAAGTTCTCATTTTAAACATCGTATTAAAATTTCAAACTTCCAAAGTTTAAAGTTTATATACTTAAAAAGTTAATACTGATCATATCACTATTATTTTTCAATTTGGGACTCGGAGTAAGTTCAAATATATATTTAGGTATATAATTAATTATTTGAATTAAATATATTTATAGTAACATATTGAAAATAGTTTGTTTAAAATATAAATGATTTATTTTCTTTAAGTCCATTAGTAAATGAGATTGGAACCAGTTGTACGTTTTTATAAAATTAATTAGGTTTTCTCTCTTTAACGATTGAAAATTATACGTCATATTATATAATATTAGGTATCAGCCATCAGGTATGCCTGGAATTTTTATCACATTTATATAGGAAATTAAATAGCTCTTGAAAAAGAACGCTATTACGATATTAAGAATATTTTTTATTTACCTATCTAACTATATTAATAATAGTTTCAAAATTATAAAATAGACATTACCTATAGTTCTTTTTTATTTATATAAATATTGTACGAACAAAATATATTTCTTCAGTCTTACCAATATAACGTAATGAACTATATAATACATAGAATATAGATATTATATGAGTAGTACTATATAAAATATTGACTTTTATATTTTATCTACAATGATTTAATTAAAATGATATGATGCTTGATAAAAAGAAATAATTTAAAAGAATTTTCATTTTCCATACGTTTTTCACAACTGAATTTCTATTACTTAGGTACATATTATAGAAATCGTAGTTTTGGTATATGAGAGGTTGAGTTTTTATACTGAATAAGAGTGGAGGAATTGCATCTTACAGACTCACCCTAACTATAAATTATGTTGGTTATATAGCATATTATATAGTCATACCTTATGTCCTTATATTTAACGACCGGAAATTTAAACATTACTTGTGATACCACCGATAGGTATGCATTTAAACGGAACACCTGCATGACAAAATATGTAGCTGCCAAGTATCAACAACTTTGAGGTTGGACATCAAGATGATGATGGACGATTGCAGTTACTGCAGTTGCAGCATGACGGCGATGGACAGCTACTGCAGCTGCGATCGATCGATTATTTACGTACTCGATTTGGCGACTCCCCGGTTCGAGATCGTTTTCGGCCAACCACCGCCGCCGGACTGCGGCAAACTGTTGTCGCAAAGGTCAAAACGCGTGTACAAATCGATGATCGAGGTCGGAGAAACGGAAGTGCAGGTGATGGTCGCCAATGCCGAGGATCGGAAAAGATTTATGGCCAGCACGGAAGCGTTGCATCGCTCGCCGGCGGACCATCGCTACGGGCATGCCCCTCCAATAGCCCAGGAGGACCAGAGCAGCGGCCGCAGTGAGGTACTTCCGCCAGCAGACCGAGAATCCTGCGCAACCAATGGTCCACAAGCTCATCCCGACTTGCAGGCGACCGATCTGCAAGCTCCTGATTTACGGGCTACCGATCTGCAAGCTTCCGACTTTTGCACTACCGAGTTGCAGGAGTACAAGTTCCATGCAACCTATGACCCACATGTTGCGGCCAACTACTATACTCCCGACTTTTTCGCTGTCATCACGCCCAATGCCAGTGACGACTTTGACGCGGTGGACTTGACAGGAGACGACTGCCACCGCCAGAGATCCGTGGACTTGGGCGGATGGGAAGAGCGTGCTCCTGCCGATTCGGAGCAGTCTCGGTCTCCGGAAAACGGGAATTGGGACTCCAGGGTACAGGCTCCAGAGGATACCCCGAAGGAGGAGGGTTCGCTATGGACGAGATTCAAAAAGTACGTAAGTTGCGGTTTGTGCTGTCGACAACGGGAGATATAGAAGGGAAAAATAAAAAAGTTCACCGAAATTTAAATACAAATTATAGGTAGGTAGGTAACTACCTATTAACGGAAGCGCGTATAAACCTGGAATTTATAAATCTGGACCGTATAAACCGGGACTGTACATATCTAGAAAGTACAATTCTGGGCAGGACAAATCTGAAATATAAAATTTTGAAATACGCAAAAATCTGGACGGTGACCTATTAGTGGTGGTGTTGCATATCAAGTCGAGGGATATTTTCGTTTTTTTCTGTCTGAGCGCAGAGGATCAAGAGAGTGGCCACGCGGGTATCACTGACTAGATTTATACATTTCATATACCTATGCGTACGGTCCAGGTTTTTACGTTCCAGTCGTTCCAGATATGTACAGCCCGGATTTATACGGTCCAGATTTATAAATTCCAGGTTTATACAAGGACCTCTGTTAACTTCCTGCAGGGAGGACCTTAACTACCATTTTATCACATAATCGGCATTCTTTTACACATATTTTCATAACGTAATCCTTAATAATTTTCAGTTTAAATCCCCTCGAGTCTCTGTAAAAAGGTGTGTTATTTCAGCAGAACCAATTGGTTACTGTAAAGTTGGTTACCACTTATGAATCGTTTTCCTCTCAGAAAAAACTTAATAATAGAATAGTAAAAGTTAGTCGTTAGCAAAAATGTATGAAGAAGACCTGTGATTATGTGGAAAAGTATAGTTTATACCCTACATGTAGTAGTGTAAAGTGGGTGTGGGTGTATGGGTCTAAAGCTTTGACCAGACTATATAACTGAAAAAAAAACACTCGGGATCCAATTTCTATGTTATATAATTTAATATACACATATAATCATTTATTATAAGTATTGGTACTAGCGAAATGAGGCGAATTTTCTACAAAAATGGCGTTTGGAGATAAATTTAGTTGGTATATAGTAGCCCTTCGATGGCATAATTTTAGATTCGTCTAGAGTGACTGAATTAAGTTAACTACAATACTAAACGAAGAGAACGGCTAAAACTTAGCTGAAAAAGTGAAAAATATTAAATACAAGGCGAGACAATTAAACGGCCGATTTAAAAATTAGATTTTCTCGTTAGTAATCTAAGATAAGAACGATTATTATTAATTTTAAAACAACATGCCATTTAGTAAACAATAGGCTTGAGATGTCGAACAACTAAAAACAAAATCCGAAAAGAAAACAATGCACCTATGAAAGTGATATGAGAGGTAGAAAACTCTCCCGATTTTTAAGACTAGTTAATTCTTCAGAGCCATCATTATATTTACCTGAAGGAAGTGTGTAAACTTTCCTGCGTAACTTAAAAACTATACATCACAAAATTATGGACTATAAAGATCAAAATGTATGATGAAATTGATTTAAATTATTATTTTGTCATTATTTTCTACAATAAAACCAATTGACTTTTTTAAAACGAAATTCATGTTTAGTTTATAAATTTTAAAAATGTATAATATGTCTATATATTACTATATTGGTAAATATTAAAATATAATGCACGAATGAGGTTATCACAAGACTGGGTGAGTTTATATGTATTCATCAGGTAGTAGGTACTTAAGTAGACTTGGAGAGTTTACAATTGCTCAGTGTTATGTTGTGTAGTGAAAAATTTTCAAGGAAGGTTCAATCAAAATATATAACATAAGAAAAGTAAAAACGACCGGTGGTTTTCTGAAAACTAATACTGTCATGAAGACAAAAATTCCAATAATAACTGATTTATTATTATTTTGAAACGTATAACTACGATGTCATAAAATAATAAAACCACACACTTATAAAACTATGGGACATAAGTATCATTTACTGGTATTTAAAATATTTAGTTATAGTAAAGTTAATAAAATATATGTATATTTAGTATATACCTAGAGTGCAGAATCCTATAAACAACTGAGCTTAGTGAAAAAAAAAGTACATTTTGGTGAACCTTAGAAAAGTTTGTAAGGTTGAAAAAAACATCCATACAGAGGTAGGGCACTAGAAATACCTTTCAGGTGTCTAAGCCTCTTTAGTCTACTCCTAGCTATGCACTCACGCCCACGTTTAAAGTTTTAATCAAGATTTACAATGTATTACCACCTTTATTTGCATACAATTCACATTTTGTAAGAATTAAGTTAAACATTCTAATAAAATCATTGAGATTGAGGTGACACAAAATAACAAATCGATTAATATTGGTTATAAATGTTTTATTACAATTAAAGTACTTAATGTTGTATACAAATTATATTTTTTTCTACACAAGTAGAATTATTTATAGATAAAGATAATATTAATTTATGTATAGGCACAATTTTAAAATTATGATGTAAATGTGATATTTATATAGTTGTATACATAATAAGTAGGTTATATTATTAAGTTAAGTATTATTATAAAAGCATAATAATAATTCGTGTCGATTTAAAATTTTTGCACAATTATTTTTAGTAGAAATTTAAACTTAACGGACGATGACCTATTGGTATCACTTTCCTGTTTGTGCACCCTTGACTGTACAAAGAATTTGTAAAAATGTTTTAAATCAAACAATAAGCATAATAATAAATATAGTTCAAATACAATCAAATTATGGAATAATTAAGAAAACAGTAGTCGTTACTAAGTAATAAAAAGTATATAAAAATATGATCAAATTTAAACCAACTTTCACATTATTTCTATATTATTTAAAAATATGAATGTAATTAAATCCAGTCTTTAAAAAAGGTGTTTGTAAAATGATGAATTATAAATTGTTTTAATTATTGTACATTGTTAAAATAAGTTACATAATATAAGACAATATTATTAGTTTATATTATATAAAAAGAAACATTCTACATTTAAATGCACATTCTGATCGAAAACCATTGTATCAGCTATTAATTAAATATAACAATTTGTTAGTATTAAGACAATATAATTATTGAACTCAAATAAGATCATTGAATAAATAAGGAATTCTTATACACAACCATAGCGAGATTATTCAAAGATACGGAAATATCATATTACACAGTAGTTTTAACTTACATTATATAATTTTCAAAAGGAAAATATTAAAAATAAAATTCTAGCAGAATATGTGTCATATTATAATAATAATATTACAAGTTATTTAGACATTACGATACATTTCAAGATCATACAATTTTTGTGTTGAATACAAAATAAAATACAACATTTTAATTCGATACTGAATTACTATAACTATTAGTATAAATATTAATCTTAGTCTTTATGTAAATATACACAAAAAAAGTGTTCAATTAAAACCAAAATTATTTTGACAGTCAATCACATGTAAAACATCACAATTCAGTTAATACGTATTTGGTATTTCAGTATTTGACAAATAATGTTTAGAAAAGGAACCAACAAAATAAACCAAATAAGGCAGAAAACAAATAATATCAAAACAAATTTATAGCTTTGCGATTTTTATTTCTTCCATATAAATCGTCAAAACTCAGGAACAACGAAAAAACTAAAACTAATTATTACATATTAAACAAAACAATTTAGAATATTTAAATTTTTGTATACATTTGAGATTAAAAAAAAAAAATTATAATTTTGATAAATCAAAATTTTATCTGAGAAAAAAATAGTTTATCGAAATATACAAAAATACTCCTATTTTTTTTTCAAAATATTTATTTCATAATTGACTCGTATATTTTATGATAAAAACCATAAATATTTATACAAAATATTGTGCTGGTATATTTTTTTAAGGCAAACACATGAAGTCTTATTTGTTATGCTTATATATGAAAAGTAATTCTAACCATAATCAGTTCAAAACTAGGTAACTTAATATTTAAGATAATAATATTCTTTTGATAGCCAGACTATAAAAGTCGAAAATTTTAAGATAAAAATAAAAGAAAAAAAATTTAGTCATTCACAAACCTTCGTTACTCAGTTGATGGCACAAATAAATATAGTAATATTAATAATAACATGCTTTGGCTTTTTATAAGAACAGCTATTGTTATTGTGATGTGTGAATTAACAATTTACTTCAGTCGATTTCAATGGTTGCATTCCTGAAATAATTATTTAAATTCAAATTAATAGAAATATAAACAAAATGTCAAAAATAAAAGTCACAGAAGATTAACTTTTTAGCTGCTACACTATTTATGCTCTGAACCCGTGTATGCTACGTAATAAAAAATATTTTTTATTTTTGATAATATATATTTTTTTTTTAAATTTAAATTTTGTGATCTTTATGATCTAGTTATTAATTTTTGAAACGATGTGACCCAGGATTTCCTAAAATTGTACTGTTATCGGCAAATGATATTATAAAAGACAGGAACGTAATAGTACGCCTGAAGCAGTGAACAGTGTAAACGTTTTTTCTTACACTACTACAAGTGAAACATCATAGTATGGTTGTAACTTGTATGGTGTGGTCAATGTCCATTGTCCATGTTGTTTATATAAATTCCCAGCATATTATTATTTATTAAAATACTTATAATAAATATTAGATTTTACCTATAACAACTTTATTATTATTTTATTGTTAGTTTTATTTAATTTTATTAACATACAGTTACCAACAAATTACAATTTTATACTGTAATTTTTAATTTAAGGTACTTGACATTTATTTAGTACCCAAAAAAATGTAGTAAGAAATGTGGGCTTACTACAAAAACTGTATTTTTTTTCTGTATAATTTTGATTACAGATGAATTATTAGAAATAATTGAAATCATACAATGTTGGGTTCAAAAATAATATTAAAGAAAGTACCTAAATCTAATTTAAAAAATATATATAGTGAAAAGTTTTTAAACAGATGGGATATATAGAACACGGATAAAATGTTTGACTGTGTGTATGATGTTTAAGCCCAAGAAATATAAAGTGTACATACCCATGAATTGCGGATAAACTGGATAAGCTCCAGGTGGCAAATGATGAGTAACTTCTTTTTTTGGTATATTTTGTTCTTCTGATTCATTGGGCAAAGAAACGGCAGCAACCATATTTGCATTATCATTTGAATCTTCTATTTAAAACAAAATACAAAAAATTTAAAATGTATATTAGCTTAATTTTATAATTCTGTAGACTAATAAAATCAATAATGCACAATTATTTTTAAATTATATATTTAAACAAGTTTTAACTATACATTTTTTTGCTTATTAATATATAAATGGACTGTTAATATACAAATTAAACAACTATGATTCTGAATTTCAAATTGGTAAGTGCATCGTCTTGTAATTTTATGTAGGGAATATATTAATGTTTAAGTCCTGCAGATTTTTTAATTAACTTGTCACAGACACAGATTATTTACTTACTACCTATACCTTTATTTGAATTAATAAATATTAAATTGAATAAAATAAAGATAAGTTAAATGTAAAAAAATTTTAATTAAAGGAAATTCTATAAGAATATTTTTTTATTTATTAGCTTATATCACATTAAGTATAAGTTCAAAAAATAAATTGAGTTCAATTTACCACTTGGCTTTAATAATTAAAGATTTATGAATCAGTTATTATTAATAATAATTTATTATGATATAATATACATCACATAAATATGTGGGTATAAATAGAAATGTTCATCAAAACTAAAACAGTAAAATTATGTAACTTATGAACTCGGAAGTTAAATAAATTTCTATAGACTATTTTGTAAGCAATATGAAGAAAACAAATTAACTAAACCAATTTTTGGACAAATTGGGTAGATTTGAAAAGTAGAACTATTTAAATTTATTATTTTAGTGTGTTACTCAATTTTTTTCAATAAACTGTGTTTAAGAAATTAAATTATTACACTCTTTAGTAATTTCATTAATATAGTAAAAAGTAAAAAGAGTCAAATAAACTAAATGCAAAATAATATACAAATATGTGCGAAATATTGGTTTTTTATAATATTATTTAACAAATCTTCATCATATTATTAAATTTAATTAGCTTAAAATTATCAATTAAATTAACAAAAATATTTTTCTATAGGTAATAATTGTAATAAATATATGCTAAGACTATATTTACTAATATATTAGGTATGTGTGTGTTTTTTAGTTGAACCTAAATAATTTAATATTTTAATAGGAATGAGGATGTTTTTTTTTAAAAATTGTTATACAATTAAGTTGCTGTAAACACTAAATGGAGTAGTGTTACTAACATTACTATTTGTATAAAAACATTGATGTAATTGGTAAAATAATTTTTGAATAAATAAAGTAGCTAACATTTAAAAATAGTGATACTAATATACATATTTTACTATTTAAGTATGGAAAATATTTTATGCCATTGTGCAAGCAATATAAATATGAATATTTTATCTTTTAGCTCTTTTCAAGTGACAAAGACAAACTATTGTTTTAATCAATAATTAATAAGCCGGTATAATTATTATAATCCTAGTATTGGTACTGATTTCTTTATCATATAGTAGATAAAAACAATATAAAAATTTAATTTAATATGTACACAGGTAGATTAAAACATTTTTCTAGAAAATAATTTAACGGTAATATTCTTTACTCTTAAAAACTTATATTTTGTTTAATATTAAACAAATAAATATTAGTATAATATACAAATAATATTCTTAGAGTTTAGAGTTAGACCCCTTATTTATTAATTGTATGTAAACAGTCAAAGTCCCTTGAACAAAATATACTTTTAAATTTTATGTTAACATAATATACATAACAGTATATACTGTAGTAATTAGAATAGTTCGATATTGTTTAACTTGCATAGGGATTTTGTAATTACTGTTAGTTAATATGGCTAATGTTATCAAGTTCCTTCTTTATGAAGAAAATATAAATTTTTATAGATTTTCCCAAAGTTAACTATTGACTTAATTATTACCTATTCGCTATTTAAAAATTATACATTTTTGAATATTATAAAGATGATAAATTATTAACAGTTAAATAATAGTTATCAAAATAAATATGAGGTAATAAAACACATTTGAACTTATACATTTCTGCAATATAAGTTTAGTGAAATAAATTCCAGTAAAGAATTAGAATAATTTATCAGGTATGCCACAGTAGACATTGCGACCTTGTAACACGGATACCTAGATATTACATTGTTACCAAGACTCTGATAATATGAAAATAATTTTAAAAACTTAATTTAAATTTTAAACTTTCATGATCTATTGTATCATTTTTTTGGTGTTTAGTATAACTTAATTATGTGTTTAAAGTTAAAATCAATCTAAAAATTCTCCTTTGTCTAGCAAATATTGATATTAAACTTATGGATGCAGCAATGTATACAAATCCATACAAGCCAATATAACTGACACCAATGTAAACCTTAACATCTCTTCTTTTTTGCTTAAATGTTTCTTTAATGCTAGCAGGACAGAAATTTCTGTGGAAGTGAGAACCATCATTTCTCTCTCCATAATGATAGCTTATAAGTGTATGGTCAGTGAAGATAGGAATGACATATCCATATGTTTAATATTAATAGTTGCAAACTACAGCAGATGAGTCACAGGTGAATCATACATTCATATACAACCAAAACAATTATATGAAATGGAATTTCAACTTAAACAGTAATTCCTAAATATAAGCCTTCCAGTAAATAGTTGATTAATTATAATTAATAATTAATCTTAAATGTAATTGATAATATATTAAAAAAAAAATATGATTTACTTTAAACATGTATAGTGTATACCATTTCTAAGGAATCTGGGATAAAGGCTGTAGGCCTTGTGCTTACATTACTTGTACTTAACTTACACTAGAATATTTTATGAATATAGGTACATACTATAAGTTGGGCGACGACGACTCATGATGCAATAACATGGAATACAGATACAAATAACACAGCATATCAATATCAAACCAACAATTATCATCAGAACTATTAATAGGTCTGGCATGAATTTTAGAATCCTAAAAGAATAGGAAATGAATACATTTATGTTTATAAAATAATAGTTTTTGTTGAATGTATGACGTGGTACAGTTTTCATGAGGCGACCTGTTGCAACATACTGATTGTGGACCAGTACTGTCTTTAGCCTTAAATATTATAAAGCTGTTCTATAGCAGAGCAGTCACACTAGTCGCAGCTTGGAAACCGTACCTTAATACAAATAAATTATAGAATAATTATTTACAAATGACGTAAATGATCAGCACCATTGCAGCAATCGACGCTATCAAATTTATCATAACAACAAAATTTAGCATCTTTATCCGATTCAGATGAAGGGCAGGTCATTAGACGTTCTCTTATAATAGTTCCATTATAAGTTTTCTTTACCGTACAGTTTTCACCTAAAAACAGTTATAACGATTTATGTTGGATACATAAAAATACATGACGTGTGGAAGCCGGAAGATTCTTATAGTTCGAAGACTACTTACTCTGAACTAATGTGACCAATATTATTAGATACGCGATTGATACAATCCTTTTTACAGTGTTCATAATGAAGACGGCGAGTGTAAAGGTTAACACTAATTGTACTTGATACCTAATTAATTTTCCCGAGCTAAATAACTAATGATGGTTATTAGTTATTAGACATAAATGAACGACAAAAAAACATTCATGTCTCATTAAAAAACACTAATAATAATGGCAATTACGAGCTTCAACAGAGTTCAATACAGCGTCAGGACGATCATTTGGGCAGACTGACTGCTGAAATAGTGACTGATGAACGCAATGCATAAAAACATACAATAAAGATTAAATAACCTATCCAGTTCCAGTATTCACTGACATATACGTATATATAGTACCTGTCTATTGTAATCTGAATTCTGTGATTAATGTGTTGTATTATTATGTTTGCGTTTGGTGTATTCGGAGTTTGGACTGTTTTATGTGATATTTTGTGGGGGGAGAAATAAAAGGGGTGATGAAATTCAAAGAGGTTGTACGTGCGATAAATACAATTCTCTTTGAAAAGTCGTTTTGACCTTGTGATAAGCATAATCTGTTCCAAATTGTTCACGGTGGTCGGTGTCCTCTGTCTGTTGATACGAACGGGCCCGACGACGCGGCTGCCTTCAAAAGTTGAATAGGTATTTGAATAATTATTATACTTTTATGATTTATACTTGATTATCGATTATTTTTTGTCACAGTTTGATTTTTTGAACTTTCAAATATTTTTACTTTTCAGTATACTGAAAGCCATTTACTTTGTACTGACAATTTAGTTGGCAATAGGCGGTTTAATATTAGAATCAGATTAAGTTGAATACTCTGTTTTTGACACGACCAACCTAAAAGCCCAAAGGTGAGATTACTGATTAGTTCAGTTGGAGTTTGGACATCCTCAGAGTATTAATCGTGAAACAAGTTTTATTCTGCTCAATATTCAATATGAATTTGAAATTCTGTGCCAATTTATCATTCATGTACCAAGAAGCAAATTGTCTTCTGGAGAGATACAATTTGGCTGCTAAATCGGGTTTTACTTCTGTCGAATGTGCATTTCCATACTCAGATACTTTGGAAAAAGTCGTACAAGCGAAAATAAATGCTAATGTACAACAAATCTTGATAAACGCACCTAGAGGTGAAGCCCAAGAACTAGGATTTGCTGCAATTCCAAGCATGGAGGATAGGTTTCGTTCATCTATTGACTTGGCTGTATCTTATGCAAAAGCTTTGAACTGTTCCAAGATTCATGTGATGGCTGGCATAGTCGTTCAACCAACAGAAGTCAATCACGAGGCTTATGAAAAAAATTTAACTTATGCAGCACAAATCTTTGAAACTAAAGGCATTATAGGTTTAATTGAGCCAATCAATAAATATTCTGCTCCAGGGTATTATTTAAATTCATATGAACGAGCAATTGATGTTCTGAACAAAGTTAATAGCCCTAATTTGAAGCTACAGTTAGATATATTCCATTTACAACAGATCAAAGGAGACCTAACGAATAACATTAAGAGATTGTTACCTCATGTAGGGCATATTCAATTGGCTCAAGTTCCTGCACGTAACGAACCAAATACACCTGGTGAAATAGATTATAATTATATTTTTCAACTATTAGAAGAACTGAACTATAGTGAATGGATCGGGTTAGAATATAACCCTAAAGGCGATACTGACAAAGGTTTATCATGGTTAAGGGATATAAAAAGAAGTGTAACATTTTAATGAGAAATATTTTAAAAAGTACATTACAACTTACAAGCATTTAAAAAAATAAATTAACAATACACTTAAATTTATTCTATAATCCAGAGCATATTTACTCCAGTCTTTCCAAGGTTGACACTCTCCAACAATCCATTTTCAGTCGTTTTGATGTGATGTAGGAACAATAAAACTGTATAGAAAAAATTATTACGACCCTGAAACAATGTTGAAAATATATAGAATTTCTATGTTTTTACTTTTTATATGATTTATTATAGTTGAAAACTAGTGTAATCAAACAAACATTATTGAGCTCAAAATTATGTATATTTATAATATATTATGCTAATAAATTACATTACCTTTGGAAAGTTGTGTGTTTCTTTACCAATTTTTAAACTGTAGTGAGGTGGAATATTTGATTGTTGAAAAATGACCACTTGCTTATTATCGGATTTTAATTTTTCTGGATATTTTATCAGATGTTGAACAGAAAATGGATTTTTTCCCTTAAGACGTGTTAATGGAGATAACTGAGAATCTAAGTATGTAGCTAATAAATGCATTACTAACTAAAAACAAATAAAATATTTTTATAAAATAAAGAAACTTAACCAATGTTCAACACATATTTTTATAAAAAAATAGTACTTACAACTGCGTCAGATGGTAATTCACTATTCCATTCTTTTCCTTTAAATGTTCCACCAGAATTCCATCGATACTCAGTTAAACAAGAACCTTTGGCCAATTCTGAAACAGTAATTAAATAATAAAGATTATACCCTAGCGGCTAGGGTATAACAACTATTTGGGTACTTATAGCAAGATTATCGATCCGTCATCAAAAAAATAATTTGGAAATATCCTGTAGCATAATTTATTTACATAATGAAGAGTATGCAATATACCTTAACATAAATTTTCAATGATAATAAAAAAAAACACTAAAATAACTCCATCAATTATGGTGACAAGACATTGTTATTGACATTTTTGTTAACATACCTTCATAAGCATACACAAGTACACAACAGTATGCTATAAACATTTAAGTATCAAAATATATTTTTATCTCGTGATGATTATGACTTGTTTGTTTTCTACATTTGTAAAATATTTTAATTTATAAAAAAAGAAATTTCTTAATTTATCATAATTTTAATAAGAAATTTTGTATGATAGTACATGGAAATCACTATGGTATATGCGAATGTAATTCATTTTATGAGTAGTAGTGTTCAAATGTTGTCAATTTGAATAATAAAACATAAATTACGAAATTTAATAAAAGTACAAAAATGATAAAATGGAATTTTTTTGAGGGAACACAATAACATACTTGTATCTACCATTATTATTTATATCTTTACCTCTTATGCGTTGAACTACATATTCTTGATTTGGAGATACTTCAAAATATGGAATAATATACAGTAAACTAGGTATAGTTTGAGCAACCTGTATTGTATGTGCAGTTTTTTTTAGTCTTTCTAAGCCAACATTTCCTATAGATACGTCTACAAATCCTTGGTTGTATAAAGCTTGATCAACATTTTCAATTTCTTTCACCAATCGAGAAATAATTGTTTGTGAAATCCACTAAGAAAATCCAATATTTTATCAAAATTTAATTAAATTAATGTTAAGTAAAAATTTAACTTACGGTTCTCAAACTAACTGACCATCTTTCAACTTTATTATTGTCCACTTTAAATTTACGCCATACTTCTGAAGCCATAGCTACAGTAGAAGTGCTCTCATTCAATTCGGATTTTGATTGTTCAGCTAATATAAAAAATTACTAATTTAATTAAATGTTTAAGCCTCAAAATAATCTGTATTTTATCAACTTACGTGATGATGCCACTTGGTATATAGAATTTTGAAGCATTGAGGAAATAGATGTGTTTGAGCAACCAGAACGTTCCCACATAGACATACTCCGTTGTTCAGATTCACGTTCTAGAGGTATAATTTAATTAATTTATGTATTTATTATTTTCAGCTAATATCTAGTATGAAATAATGATCTTGAAATATTTGTAACTTGATTCTATACTCTCAATTAATTTAATTATTTTTAGATATTTTTAAGTTTGTTGTATATTGGTGAATATCAATTTATATTGCATACTAGAAGAAGTCATAGTGTCATGAGTGCACATAAATATTGTAAATGTTAACACCCTACATATTATGATATCTTGAAAAAGTCTTCAAACAAACTTAAATGTTAAGTTAAAATCAAAAGTTACAATATTGAATGATTCACATTAAAAGTAATGCTTTATAACAAAATATTACCAGTGAACGAAAAGCTATTTTTGTTGTCATAGTCTTTAAGGTATTGTTCTAAGGCAGAAATATCTTCTATAGTTTCGTCATTGGTACTAGTCATAAACTTAGTTGCACTTCTATTTTGTTTTTCTGGTCCAAAGTTGTCTATAAATATTATAAATATAAGGTAATTAAAATAATTTGATCATTAGTAATTTAAAATTGATGTTCCAATAAATTAAAAATATTTAATATTAGGTACCTAAGTACATGATTATAAATTGTGAAATCACCCTAGTGGGAAGGTCGTTGATGTAGCAATTTACTTCAACTTTAATTTTAATTTTAAACATTTTACGGGAACATTTGATTAAAATAAACAAGGCAATGTTAATTTAATTTAAATTAAAAATATTATACTATTATGAAAAATTATATTCATTGGTGAAACATAGTAACGAGCCACAAATGTCAAAAGTATTTTATAATAATTATACAAGTGTTTACAAGACAATACATCTTTGTTTTTATAAATAGTTATTTTTAACATTTTAAACTTAGTTAACATTTTAAAAAAATACTAATTTTTATGAAATTAAAAATACTAATATGAGTCATTAACAAATCATTAAAATTATATTATTTGTTTGTTCTTGAAACAATAATTTACCATGTGAAACGTGAAACTGTTGGTTGTTCCATTTGTTAATCCAATTGATTGGTGTACTTGTGGTCGCAGGAGGTGTTATTATACTTGATGAAGTATCTGGTGATTTTACTTTTATATAAGCTATAATAAACAAGAACATATATTTTAAATATTGAATGATTTAAATTCGGTTATATGCATACAGTTGGATAAGCCTAGTGTCTGGAAGTGTTCTGGTGCCAAGTGTATGGTACTAGTGGTTACCCATAATTTTGTAAGGGACAATACATGATATAAAAGACTTAACAATACAACTATTGATGATACTGATTCAACAAATCTCCACCATGGAGTATACCAAGAATATGGCAAGGCCAATCTAGAAAAAAAGTATTATCGATTATACATTATCTTTAAGAAAAATAAATTAATATTAGTATTTACGTTGTACTTTGATGGACTGAATAACACATATTTAAAAAACTCAAAAACTATGAACAGTTTAATCCTAATGAAGTATAAAATAATTACTCACAAGTCATAAGTCAGCATAGACAATACTAGGGCATTTACAGTACCCCAAATAAAATGTTGCTTCATTCGATTAACAGTAATCGTCAACTGAATGGCGTCTTTCACTAAATCCTTTTTAATTGATTTGTTTGATTGAAAATCTGGTGGTGTCCTATTAAATAAATTATGCGAATGAATAACAATATAACAAGGATTTTTTGAATAAGTAAATACCTCATGATTAAAATTTCTTATATAATTTTTAGGCACTTAATCAATAAATAATAGGTATTTGTATAATATAATGCGCTTCTTATAAATGATTAAACATATTAAAAAGTATCGTTAATTTCGAAGAATTAAATTGTATTCACACAAATAATAATGCAGGTTAATACTAAATTGTTTTCACTAGTCATACACTTGGGCAAAAATCAAACAAAAGATGAGAAATTCAAAAAAGTAAAATCCGCATGTTTTTTGTAATGGTTGTTGAGATATCATTCCATTATCCATAGATAACAAACTTGAATATTATATTTTTAAACTTATATATAGATCATAAATCATAATATTACACTTATTACTGGTATTAAACCAAAATTAAAAGAAAACTTAAAAAAGTCAGAAATTATAAATTATAATTATTAACTATTAACGTATTTCAGGATTTCCAAAACCAAAACGATAATAATTTACTATTCTGTTTCTTACTTCAGTATATACAAAACCACGGTTATCTACAGTAGATAACCGAGCATAAAATGAAGTTCGAAACACGCTATGACGTCATTAATACAATCCTATCATTCTGAGATATTCTGTGTTATTATTATTAATATTTATTATCTTATTATTGTTATTGTTGTTTTCGTTATAACTTATAAAGCTAATGAAAATATTAATAGTAATTAGTACATTTGTAATTTTGAGAATTATTATAATAATTAGGTACATATATATTGTATTATAATAATTTTAAAGATTACATATTCTTCAGTGTACAAATTTAATTTGTTTTTAAAAATATTGACTCATACAGAGTAATTTGTATTTGATTTTTGTGATAATATATTTTTATGTTATTCAAATATATTTACTAGTAGTTAATGGCTTAATATTTGTATTCAAATATGCTATGTGAGAATCAGAAAGAAAAAAAAAAAATACTCAACAGCATTTGTGAAGTCAATATTGATGGAAACATGGCATTGGTGTCTTTGTATGATGATCTTCCTCATTTTGAATACGACCTGACAATTGATAATGTATGTATTATATAGATTTTGAAGAATATTAACCACCCTAATGTAAACCAATAACATATCTCATTATCTCACTAGATAAATATTTAGAGATAATCGTTTAAGTTTCTTAATACTTTGTAAGGTAAATTATGTACCCAAACCTGTACAATTTGTAAGTATTTGGTGTCTTATTCTATAGAGCTTACTCTACTAATTTTCTAATTCATCTGTAGGTATATCTACATTGTCACCAGCATAGTTGAATTCAGTGATTAGAATGTTATGTCCATACCTGTAATTAATTATTGCACACCTTAATATGTACAATACATACATTTTAAATTTAAATCTTATTACCTACCTATTTCCATTATAAAAATATATATTATATGTAATCATTTATGATTATAGTCATATTTTATAGTATAATTGTTTTTACAGTACTGACTTTAAAAAAAGTACTTATACCTAATTTAGTTTGGTGGTTTAGTGTAATAGTAAATTAGATAAAATACATTTTATTTTGTAAGTCACAATTTAAAAAGGTGGTCAAGTGAGTATTCTGCTGTACATAAGGTGTCATGTAGGTTACTGAAATAGTGAAATGGATGTTTTAAATTTGAATTCAATGATATACCTTAAATCATTTTACATGAAAAATGATTCTGTCAGCATCAGTGTCGGCCTGGCCTACCAAATGCCCATGGATTAGTTTTTTTAAGGGGCCCATGATGAACGGCATGGCGTTCTCTATATACAACAATTGAGGCATAAAATTACGTTCAGATAAATATTTTGATAAACACTTTTCAGAGTCCCTACTCCCTATATAGATGAAGAATAAGCCAAGCAAATAAAAAATGTACGATACAGACACAATTTTAAAAAACCAGTGATGTCCAGCAGTTGTGGCCAGACCGACACTGGTCAGACAACATTATAATAATACTATTAAATTACAACATAATAACTAAAATTGTTATCCTCCATTTTAATATTTAATTTTGTTGAAATTTGATCTTTGAATATCCATTTATTATATTTAAGGGAAACCTTATATTAAATTTTCAAGTTTTAAGATCCAGCAAAATTTTTTGTCGATATTAATAGAAAAAAAAAATAATAAATAACTGAAAGTCTTCAAATCTGAATAGAAAATGCTATTATAAGCATTTTAAGAAAAGTTCAAATACGTGCGATCATTTGTTTTTTATTTATAACAAAATAGAAAAATTGTTTCATTGAAAATTATAAGTTTTTTGTTAATGTCCAATGTCAAAAAAATATGTATTTCAGAAGTTATTTGACTTTCCAGTGAACTCTTTTATTTTAAAGGTAGACAAGCTTGTGAAAAATTGTGTTTTAAATTTTCAAATCTTAGATAAAAATTTTTATGAATTTCCAACTCAAAATAATTTATATAACTTCAGAAGCTCATAAAAATCTATTGTGAATTTATAAAAACTTATCAGGAACCTTGTATTCAATTTCCAAATTTTTTGAGTTATCAAACATTTTTATTGACAATAATTAAATGTAAACCATTAAAAATCGAAAATTTCTTATGCCTCTCAATATCTGAAAAAAAGTCAAAATATTTTTAAAATGTTAGGCGTTCTTATAGAAAAGGCTAATATTAACATTCAGTGAAAATGTCAAGTCTAGTTACAGTAAAACTAAAATTGATTTTGTGTAAAAATTTCTGTTGACTCCTCAAATGCATCAACTAGATTCACTTTCCCACCAGACAAGTTAGGTAATAAAGTTGCAAATCAAAACATTATTTCAACTACTTATCGTGCATACAGACAAAAAAAGATAAATACATCATTATAAAATCAATACATTTATCTCTCCGCTAAGAATCTAAAAAGGTTGTCAGGCTATAGATTGTATTCTACTAATTTGTTGTTCCTAAACTCTATATATTATATCCCTATATCCATGGTAAACAGAAGAAGGATTTATTTTAAAAACATTTCACAATATAGTTTATAGATAATAATATTACCCCCTACCTACATGTATGTTGTTATATTATATTATTATTTATAGTTGAAGAATTCAGTTGCAAAATTGAAAAAAATTGTTCAAGAATTGAAACAACACATTAAAAAATTGGAAAATGAAAATACTCACGTCCAATAAATTAATAATGTATTATCTAAAAATATTACATCATTATATAAAACTGCTAGCATGGAAATCCAAAGGAAAGATAAAATAATTGATGACCTCCGCAAAAGGTACGTAATAATAAAATCTTGTATTTTCAACACATGTATTTAATCACATAATTGTTTATTAATAATAATTTTTTTTGTGAACATTTAGCCAAGTTGTTCCACTACCATCCACATCAAAAATGTTTTCTTCTACTAATAATCAAATAGATAAAACTGAAGCCAATAAATTATCTGAAAACAAGAATAATACAGAACAAATTCAAAATACTATAGAAAAATCCAAAGTACTAAACCCCACTAATAATGATAATATTACTACCATTGTCATCAAGCCTGATCGTGATATTCCTAAAACAATTTATTCTAAAAGAATGTGTCAAAAATTAGCTCAACAAAATTATACTATTGGATCCAAAAAACAGATGTCACAAAATACAAATACAAACACAAATACCGCTGATAAAATAACACAAGATACAAATGAAGATCTTAATAACGATAAAGATACATCAAAAGAAATGTCTACTTCCCTTATTCATAATGAATCTAAAGATATTATTAATTCTACGCTAGTAATTTGTGAATCTGATGTAACACCAAGTGACTGTGAACTTGATACTACCCCAGTTATTCAGTGTGACAATCAGGAAAAAAATAAAGAAAATGTTTCCATAGATTCATTTTTTTCGAAACTAAAATCACCATCTAAATTGAAAAAAAAATTAATCATAACTCCAGCTACTATTGGTGTTCAAAACACTCATACCAAAACGTTCAAATGTGCTAAAAAAATAAACCAAAATAACAGTTTAGCTTCAATAACAGAATGTGAGATTACTAATTCACCAGAAAAACCAGTAGAAAAATCTTTAAATAAAGACACTCTGTCAACATGTATTAAAAATAATTTTCCAGATCCAAAAATTGAGGATAAACTACTTACAACAGATATACTTCATAATCAACCATTATTGACTTCTGAAAAAAATAATCAAATACAATCTTTGAATATTGAAGTTGAACAATTCCCTATTAGAAGAAGAAAAAAAGTTATAGAAAAGGATAGTAATACTCTTACATTAATTAATAAGGAAAAACGTTCACAGAAAACTGTTACTTGTACGAGTTCTTCAGTCGATAATGAATTTAACAAGTCAATAGAGAATGTTAAATGTTTGTCCATGAATAATGATAGAGAATCATCAAGTCCACCTCAACAAAAGAATTTTCAATCAAAATGTAATTTTGATACTCTTGAATGTGCAAATAGTAAGACAGAGTCTAAACACTTAAATAATTCTTGTAAAAGTTCTTTCGAAAATACATCTTTTGAAACAGGTCCCACTAATAGATCTGTTGTATCATCCATCAATATTGAAGTTAAACAAGTTCCAATTACAAGAAAGACAAAGGCAATAAAAAAGGATAATAATACTTTAAACAAATCTAAAAAAGTCACCCAGGAACCATGCATTAAAGATCATAAAAATAAGTATGATTCAAATACAGATGATAAACAGCTTTCAACAGATACACTTCATAACCAAAAATTATCTACTTATGATGACAAAAAACTAAAATCATCTATAAATATTGAAGTTGAACAAGTTCCAATTATAAGAAAAACAAAAGTATTAGAAAACATTCATAATACCTCAAA